GTAAAGTGTTGCAGAAGTCACACGAGGCCCAGGTGGAGCATTGGTGGATCTCGGGCGCGCAGGCGCATTCGGCGCAGCAGGACGCGTCCAAGGCCGGCAATGCGATCCACGGTGTGGCGGGAGGCGTCAAGATCAATTTCAGCAACGACGGCTCGACAAGCTCAACGACGAACGCCAGACGAAAGACGACGAACGCCGCCATGCCGCTGGGCTCGCCCAGCACGCAGAATATGAAGAGCGCGATGCATAGCAGTGTGCACAACGGTACGTAAGCGCGCGAGCCAGCATCGACGGCGCGCGCGCCGTCATCGTCGTCCTTTCGTCGAGCAGCGGACTTGCTCACGAAACAGTTCGATATGGAATTCCGGAATTTGTCGGTGAAGAATTCCATCGTTCTTCGACGCCGCAGCGCACCGCGAGGAAAGCAAAAAAACGGTGCGTTTGACGAGTGCAGAGAAGCGAACCCTCGAACGATTCAACATCGGGCCGGCGCAAAAGTACAAACTCTGTAGTGCAAGTGAGCGGAGAGAGTCACGCGACACGACCCTCCTCCGACGATTAAAGGTCGGATGGCAAGCTGGCGATAGTGCGAACACCACTGAAACACACCGAGCATTCGCCGGCGACAATTGGACGCGACGCCGGCGGCGAGCGATCATCACCACCGCCGCCAGTCAAAAAAACCGTCCCCGCCGAACGGAGGTAGCTCTCGGTCGCCGCTACTACTCGTCGGTTGTAGTAAAACTGATTTCGCGCGATTTCTAATGCGAATTGTACTTTCTTCTTCTTTTTTTTGTACAGTATTTGTTGCAAGTAAAAAAATATAAGTAAGATGCAATTGAAATTATTAAATAAAACGAATAATTATTATTCTGTTAAATCGAGTTTCGAGATTTAATTTAACGCTTGATAATTACGTAGATGAATTGGAAAATAGAGAATTAACGGGAGGATATCCGGCGAACGATTCTATCCTGATCGCCTCTGTATTGAATATTGAATTCCGATCGTGTGAATCCGTATTGAAACAATCAAGTAGATGCTTCCCGAGTAGGCATGCGATTTTCTCTTTTTTTTGTCTAGTCAGTTTACTATTTCATATTTTTTTTAAACCTTTTATAATTAATAGCATTCTCCATAGACTTTGGTATATCCACGACCACCCCATGAAACTTGTGCGACGCATCGCTATACGAGACGTAACGCAGAATCATTTATCACGCGCGAGTTACAAAGACGGAAAACAAAAAGGATCTCAGGATTAAAGAATTGACTCCGGAGAGGACCTGGCGCGAATGAAGTGTGAGAGAGAGAGAGAGAGAGAATTTTTAGTTATATGTTTCCGCATGCGAGATCAAACCGAGATCGCGAGATGTCTTTCTACACCCGATAGATTATTCTTTTATACGGCAAAGTGACGTACTTTATGGTGGATTAATTGTAGCCGGACATTACGGATTATTCATTGTCCCGAGTCAGATCGGTTGCGGGACGAAGGTGGGCGCTGAATGATGAAAAATGCGGTATAATCGTCTACAAGATTTCTGACATTGCACACACCTACACACACACATACAAACAAAAATCCACACACACACACACAAACACCCACACATATACACACAGCTCAGTCTAAATGAAAATCTGTGAGGCTGTAAATTATACTTTACATTTTCTACATCGAGAAAGAAAGAGAGAGAGAGAGAGATGAATCGGTAGAATAAAAGTGCCTTTTACCAAACCAAGCGCGGGTCTGAATTCGAGGATGACGATCTAGGAAATATCGAGCGTCGTTCGATACTCGCGGAATTATACTCGTCTTACACCAGTGTGCTCGATCGTCGTTTCCTTCCGTGTGCCGCAACTTGCGGCGGTTCAGACCTTCAAGTATATATATCATACTAGGAACTGTTATGAATTTTGCGTGTAACATATGCAACTTATACTGCCGTGGTCGTTCGAAGAAGAGCTTACATTCCCTTATACATACTCTATCTTCTTTATATTATAGATAGTCTAATGAAATTTTTTAATCCTAGATGCGCCGGACGGGCCACGCCGGGGCACTTAAGTTCGACGGAATTATCGTTCTCTTCGAGCGACTTTCAATTCACTGTCCAATATTATCTATGGTAGGTTGTAAATAGGAAAGTAAACGATGAAATAAACACGCGGACGTGAAAAATATACATTAACGTGGCTGTCATTTTCACCACGAGATCCGAAATGTATCTTCGCTTTTCCGTTCGTTCAATCCTTAGATTACCACTCCTCGATTTTGTGAAGCGGTATAACCCGCGGTGATAATCCAAGGATTTGAAAGGAAAAGGATTTTTAGATAATATTCTAGCTTTAAATATCCCGTTTAAATATAAATCACGCTAAATTTTTTTATTGTTTTACATATATATGTATCGCTGTAAGACGCTCAAGAAGCGATTTGTTTTTTAACAGACCGCCGTCATTTTTGACTAACTCAATAACAATGATGTTTCGTTACACAAATACAACATCTCTACGAAGATCCTAATTTGTTGATTCGGCAATTTTAAGCTGTCCCCGTAATATTTCGCCGTGAATATTCCATGTAATATATTATGTATTATTGTAGTGTGTTATTAGCGTACGTTATTAAGTATGTGAACTGTTCACTATGCATACGCAATAGACTTCATATTGTTTTGTATTTTCATTAAAACCAAATGTTTGACTCTATCATATCTGAAGTAGCGTGGAAAGTCTATGTTTATATAATCTACAGACCAATTTGTACTTCTATACTTTTCGATGCAGCGTAGAAATTCCTCGTACATCGGAGCGGTGGTGTCCAGATCGGCGATGGTGAAGACGTATCGCTTCTCCAGCGCGACGTAAACGATTTTCCTCTTTTTCGTACACAGAAGTTTCGACAATGTGCGGACGAATCCATCCGTGATTTTCTCATCGTAAATTACTATCAGTCAAAGAAAGAAATATCATCTTTTTATCTCTTTTACACTAGAATTATCAATCTTACCATCCGCAGCCAGTATGACGTTTGCGCCTTGTAATCTCTTCTCCAACTTTTTCGACCACTCCAAGTTCAAAAAGTTTACCTCCTCGACGTGATAACCGGACTTAATGTATGTGTGATTCCTCAGAAAATTCCGCTCAATTAGATTCAATATGCCACCCACGCTAATATCTGAAATATTGATGAATCAATAAGATTGAAATTTTCAACAGGAGCTCGGAACACACACACACATTGCTCTTACCTGTACAAATGACTTCTTTAGCCAAGTAGCTTGCCACAATGCCGGTCAGCCCGACTCCGGAGCCCAATTCCAGAATTGTTTGGTCCTTGAATAAATCTGGATACGATAGAATATAGTCGGCCAGCAAGAGAGCACCTCTCCACACTTGCAAGCCGACTAAATTCAGCTCCGTGGATACGCTATGCTCTGTAAACACAATTTGAATGTGCGTTGCGTACACAACATGGCGTTGATTTATCTCGTACCTATGAGAATTATTTCTTCTCGGTCCCTTTCTATATCTAGATCCTCATCGCTATCGTAATTTAGTGCTTCGGTTTGCGAGTCGATCATGTAAGACGGGCACTTAAAAGCGAACTTGGTCACAGCATCTGGAATCAATTTCGCTCTACAATACATGCGTTCGTATGCTATTCGGAGACTGAAATATTGCAACTTACTGCCATCGTCAAGCTTCTCAGAAATGTCATCGTTTTCCGTATATATTTCCGACGTTATTTTATGCATCTTAACAGATAATAGAACATTAACGATTATTTATCTTTTTAAATTGTTTTTTAATATTACTGACTGAATGTTAACTTATCTAAGATTATTATTATACATCACAGTTTTTTAAAGAATATAATCGTTACAAATATCACAGATTTTTGAACAATGAGCAAAATTATACACAGTATGAAAAATCACAATTGCTGTATACTCATCGTGTTGCACTCGTAAAGCACAAATCCGCTTGCACAAAAGTATACATTAATAATCGGAAGCGTAACGCAACGGCTCGACTTGAACGCGTGAGATTAATGCGCGAAAATAAATCGGGAAGTGACATTGCGCCGTGACGCTTGTCGCACGATAATGAAGCGTGTCGCAACCGACCAATATTACAGCCTTGCAGCTGTATTTATTTCTGTCTTGGAATTGGTGTCTTAACAATTACATAATCTATAATCTTATGCCATCAAGTTGCCTCTATTATTGAATAATGATGAGTTTACAAATCAGACATTATGCTGTTAGAAATTTTCTGCTCATTGTGTAAAAACTTCCCAATTGCTTGTTGTAAAAGTGTTATTATTTAGAGACAAAAATGTGTAATGTGATCTTGGAAATAATGAGAAATATGTATAGAAATAAGAAGCAATGTGATATTGTGCGAGTATCCTTCATCGTCAAATCTGCAGTCTCTAAATACTGTGAAACCATATCTTATATCCTTAATTTCTTCCACTTCTAGAGCTAATCATCTGCATTTTAGCATCCTTGCATTATATGAAAAACAAGAATACAGAAATACAAGATCTCAAGCATGCTAATATACATTAGTTATTAAATTATGCTTTAATCTGCTTAAGTAACTCGGTTGTTACACCTTGGATTGTGTTTTGGGCGAGCAAACATTGCGTCGTTTCCTCAAGGACAAGGTCTTGGTATTCTCCTTCCTCGCAGCATTTTTGTCAGCTGTGCTTGTCATTTTGCCATCCCTTCAACCGTGCAACTACACAAATGATAACAAATTAAAATAATAATTTTTTAATCTATCTAAATTTCAGTCTAAATTATTTCATTAATTCACGAGTTTCTGCAATATTTACAAGCCTTGTCGATTCCAAGTTTGTTAATTAATTTTTCTTCTACTTTCAGCTGCATTGTCAAATTGTCAATATTATTCAACTGTGCGGCGCCATTTTGACGCCGACGTTCTCAAGAACTATATAATCAATAGTCGAACTCAATCGATAAGATAACGACGTTCCCTATCGATAGAGGGTATTCGAAATCGCAGACGGTAATTTGTCACTGAAACCGGTGAAATTAGAAATCACATTTGTAAAGAAACGATTAACTTAAAGTCACATACTTGTCCTCAATTGTGTTATCTTTTGATCCGCGGTGTTGATAGACATCGAAACAATCATCAAACCGGCGGTTATCTCTCGGCGCGGGGAAAAATCTTCGGTGTTGACGTGCCCGAGGATGAGACGGCATGGCCGATTGTGGTCGGCTCAGCCAATCAGCGACACCCACGATGAGGACGGTGCCACGCGTATGAAAGCGCGATTCCAACGCGAGACCGCAACTCGCCGACGCAGCGTCGCGTTCGCTCATTCATCGCGTGCGTTCCTCGTGTGGATGGTGTCTTCCTCGCCTTACCGTCCTCATCACTGTCGTCGTCGTCGTCAGCGAGTCAGGTCGTATTTTGACTCAACTAACCGAGAGAACCGAGTGGAGGAGACAGCGTTCCGTACGTCTCGTCGGGAATCCTAGAGTGAGAGAGAGAGTGAGAGGGATATATATATCCGAAAACAATATGAGATCAGTCGGCGTATTCTGTTTGGCGGCACTGTGCCTCGTCTCGACTTGTCACGGCAAGGTTGAGACCGACGAGGGTGTCCTGGTGGTTACGAAGGACAACTTCGACAGCGTCATCCAGGACAACGAATACGTGCTCCTCGAGTTCTGTGAGTACAACTTCATTTCGGATTGTGTATCTGTTGCTCCGGCGACGAGATGCGCTCTCCCATCTGTACTTTCTGCACACAAGACTCTCCGCATCCCGTGTTGCGATAAAGAGGAAATCCAGAGAAAAAGAGGATTATAATTTGCGAAAGAAGATAACGGAGCGTCTGTGATCGGAGGCAAGAAATCTGTTAGACTCGTCCTCCCTCGTCCATGCTTCGCGCCTCGTTGCCGGTCTCTTGTACGCGTCAGATAAGACCACGAATTCGCGTACACGTCATCACTCGGCATCTTCGAGGACAAAGATAATCAGCCAGCCGTCGTGTTATTTCTGGGAGAACGGCGACGATCCCTCGTGTTTCCACATCCGGCGATCGTTCTGCGATCTCGAACATGGTCTTTGTGGCAGCATTTTTTTGCCACTCTTCCTTCTTTCTTTTTTTCTTCTTCATCTTGATGATGTCCGAATAACGAAGGAATCTAATGTATACTCGATCATGAAAAGAAAACGCTTGGGAAATCTGTTCTGTAATTGTTTGAAGAAGAGCTCCTTCGAAGTTTCAATCTGTAAACATCCGCGAGATATTTCAATATCGCGGATGTCCTTCGGATTCCTTTTAAAGATCCGAATCGATCGCAGACTCGCAAACAGACCCCACTTAGATCCATGCTCCTTTTATATTTTTCCTTCTTCCTACGCGAGCCTGTACATCGCACATCATTTATCTCGCTCGAGTGCAGAAAGTGCAGCAGGAGAGCGCAACTGTAAAGATTAGACGATCTCCTTCTTCGGCGCCTTTTTTTTACCGTTACACCGTCTTGCAAATTGCCCGGCGCGATTATGATCGTCGCGTGGCGTCACGTAATGACGACTCGGTGATGACGACAATTGACTGCTGGCGGCTATTGACGCAGCATCCATAAATAATCAAAATCGATTCGATGTGTCTGGATTAAGGATCGAACTAATCGTACTTTCATCGGTTCACAAATTTGATATGCTAATTGTCGAATTGTAATCGCTAATTATCGATTTCCGGATTACCACAATTAACCATATGGCATTCGTATAATTCGTTAGTAATGAACAAAGTTTTGCAAAATCTTAACATACATAGTAGTACTATTTTCTAACCTTTTTTTTTTCTTTTCAATCTTATTTGATGTCGCAGAAAATATTATTGTCGACAAAATTTTTTTCTAATAACAATTATATATCAGTAATATCCTCAAACAGCAAAGTAGTATTATATTTTCATTACAGATGCTCCATGGTGCGGACATTGTAAGGCATTGGCACCTGAGTATGCTAAAGCAGCGAAGAAACTAGAGGAAGCCAAGTCGTCAATCAAACTAGGCAAAGTAGACGCTACTGTTGAAACTCAGCTCGCTGAGAAGCATGGAGTGAGAGGATATCCCACTCTCAAGTTCTACCGCAAAGGAAGTCCGATCGAGTACACTGGTGGTCGCCAGGTCGATGACATTGTCAACTGGCTGAACAAAAAGACTGGACCGGCTGCCAAAGACCTGCCGACAGTCGATGAAGCCAAGGAGTTTATCGAGGCGCACAATGTCGCCATTGTTGGATTCTTCAAGGTACGATTAAAGTTTTTTTTTTTAATTTTAATTGTTCACTGATTTTATCTACTTATGTTGATTTTGTTCCTACATCAAAAGCTTAATCTGTTCCTGTTTATTTAAATACGCATAATGTCTTTATCAGGATGTTGACAGTGAAGCTGCCAAGATATTCTTGGAAGTCGGCCACATCGTGGACGATCATGTATTTGGTATTACAAGCAGTGATGAAGTGCTTAAAGAATACGAAGTTGAAGACGGAAAGATTGTGTTATTCAAGAAGGTATGCACTTTTTCGTGTGCTATTAATATTTTGAAGCAGAAAAACAATTTTGAAATTTTTAATTTAATTTCTGTTTTTTTTTTTGGAATAGGAACGCAATGTAAAAATATTTTGATCTTTGTTTCTTACAGTTTGACGAAGGCAAGGCTGTCCACGATGGAGAAATTAGCGTCAAAGATGTGCAGAACTTTATCACTGTAAACGCGTTGCCTCTGGCTGTCGAATTCAACCAAGACACAGCACAGAAGATCTTCAGCGGAGACATCAAAAGCCACTTGTTAATTTTCTTGAGCAAAGACGCCGGTCACTACGAAAAGTATATCGATGGAATTCAAGAGCCGGCGAAGAAATACCGTGGCAAGGTACGTAATTTCACAGCAATGTTTCTATTGTTATTTCCGAAAAATCGATGTATAAGACTTGAAAATATCGGCGCAGGTGCTGTTCGTGACGATCGACTGCGACGAGTCCGATCACGAGCGCATCCTGGAGTTCTTCGGCCTGAAAAAGGATGAAGTGCCAGCTATGCGACTCATCATGCTCGAACACGACATGGCCAAGTACAAGCCCGATAATCCAGAGATCAGCGCCGAGAATATTATGGAATTCGTCACCGCCTTTGTGGAGGGCAAGCTGAAGCGGCACCTGCTCACGCAGGACTTGCCCGAGGATTGGGACAAGAGCCCGGTCAAGGTCCTCGTCGGCACGAATTTCCACGAAGTCGCCCACGACAAGGAGAAGGACGTTCTCGTTGAATTCTACGCACCTTGGTGCGGCCATTGCCAGCAGCTCGCGCCCATTTACGAGCAGGTGTGCATCTCTCTCATTGAAATTCATTTATAGCGACATCGGTAATCGATAATGCGGCTCCGCTAATCGAGCGCGTTGATTTCAGCTTGGCGAGAAGTACAAGGACAACGACAAGCTGGTCATCGCAAAGATGGACGCCACCGCTAACGAGCTGGAGGATGTGAGGGTCACCAGTTTCCCCACACTTACGCTTTACAAGAAAGAGACGAATCAGGTATGAATCAATCTGTTGTTACGATATTTACAATACAATTATAATAAGCTCATTTCGACATTTTGCGCTCCAGGCTGTGGAATATAATGGTGAAAGGACGCTCGACGGTCTCTCCAAGTTTATTGAAACTGGCGGAGAGTACGGCCAAGCTGCAGAAGAGGTATGTTATAAGATTATGTGTGCGTGCACACATTTATGTCACATTTTTTTATTCGATTTTAAGTGTCTTGAATTACAAAGGAAAGACAGTGAATATATTTTATTTTTGACAAGCGAGGCAACAAGAATGTACAATATTTTTTGCTGCCTTTCCTGTCATTGTTTCTTTTTAAAGAACCATATGTTATTCTTATTTCTGATTATAAAAAGAAAACAGTAAAACAAACCGCATGAATCATGTCTCTTAGAATTTTAACTTTTTTTTTTTTTTGGAACTTGAGCATAACTTTTTCAAACTTGTTAAATCATTTGTTTCACTGCAGGCTCAGGAGGAGGACGAAGACGACGATGTGCCAAGGAAGGACGAGTTGTAAACGCACATAATCATTATTGTAAGGAGTAAAAACAACATTGACTCGCCTCTTGTATTTCCTGCATCCAGTCAATGAGCTCCATAATTTCCCGTTTCCCCGAGATTATTCATTTACTACGAAAGTGGTGCAGTCTCACACACACTTGTTACTTTACTAGAAGTTTAGGTTTACGTGAGTCTCGCAGTGTACAATTCATAGTTAAGACTTGAAGCTCGTGGTTTGGCACAGGGTTACCGTCACGTCCATCGATATCAACGCAAACGGTGACACTCCCGTGATGATACAGAGTCATCGTCTTGATAGCGAAAAGTAGAGTGTGCGAACATGGATTTTGAAAACTTGCCACGCACTCGAGCTGTCCAGTGTGGACGCAATGAAGATGCGGGTATCGGGAATATGCGAATACGTATCTTTCCTCGTGATTATGCTGCGCATATGTCGAACTTTTGTGATGACGTGACCTCCTGCCGTCTGAAAATTACGGGCGTTCGCTATAATTTCGCGCTTTTATCTTTTTACGTCGCGGAATGAGAGAGTGAATCATTAATCTAAGAACGTCTTGATCGTCACGAATCACTTTTTATTTTTATATAAAGGTTCTTATTTTTATCGATATCATTCATATCTGAAGCGGCTCGCCGCGCAGTTGCAGCGCGCGGGTGGAAGCGCGTCTTCGTGCAAGTCTACGAGGGCCAGTGGTTTATACATACATTTCCAATCTACAGCATTTGAAACTGTCACGCGACGGGTGATGGTTTAGATATTACACATACCTACATTTAAGATAGGCAGTCGTTTTTCGATGTTCTAGTTTTAATTGACTGAAATTCTAGGGAAACTAGCGATGAGGCACATTACTGCGGAAGGAAAAAGAAAAATTAAATTATATATATATACATCAATAAGTCTTTATTATATTATTCTTAATATATAAAGATATTATTCTATATTCTCTGGTTCACGTCTGTTTTATTTCACCATTACTGTGCTATATTATTTGTAGACTATGCGACATGCTGTACATAGAAATATATTTTTAACACATTTTTGCACGCATTCGCTGCGTGCTGAATTCAGCTGAATGCGTCGAATGTCGTAATGTATAAGCGAACGCGAGTGACGAGATAATAACACACCGGTAGTGCGTTCATTACATTTTACGGAAATGGGCACTTATGGCTATTTTATTGCCAATAATCGCGCGTACGATAATTAGCACTTTGAGTGGCACTCGCTAATATTTTGTTCCCCCTTTTTCCCCCCTCATAATTCCTGTCTAATAACATTTGTTTGTCCTTTTTTTTTCACTAGGATTACGGAAGAGGCACGGATCGTACGTTGAATTTGTCAGATGTGTACAAACTGTTACGTGAGACTTTGTTAATTACAGAAGAAGTGAAGGAGATACTGAAAAGAGATTGCGACGAAGCGGCATTTGTTTTGAAATCGTGGCAAGTGAGAGCCGTCGCTGAAAAGCGTGTGGATGAGAGCTCTTGCAGCTGCAAAAAAGTATGAGTACAATCAAGCATCTTTATTAACATACAGCGCACATTTTTTACAAATTGATTTGACCTCGTTTTGCTTACCTTATCATTGATTAGATCGCGAGTAAAAACGAAGCTGAGGAAATCGCGGCGGGGATCGGCAGAGCGATAATTCTGGCGCAAGAGCTGCGGGAAAAATTGAAGTTTAACGTAGCGTCGAAGAAGAGGACGTCGAGGAGAGACGCGGTTGAAAGTATCTATCTGCCGTCAGTTAGCGATCGTAATAAGAAAGTATCGAGAACCAATCTTGGAACGCAGAAAGGAAACAGCGCAAAGGACTGTAAAAAATCAATTGCGCTTCAAGGCGACAAAGCGACTTTTGTCGCGACGAGAAAGTCCTCGAAATCTGTCGACCGTACGAAGCAGAGTGATGCAACCGACAAGAGACACAACCAATCAAAGACGTTGCCTGCAAAGGCCGCAACAAGATCGAGAAAGGAAAAGAATTTTATACTGGAAAATAAGTTGAAAGTTAAGAGGATAAGTTCGGCGAGTAAACTGCAAGATGATGGCAACAATTCCAACGACGCATCGCGATGTGTATGTGTGACAATAATAATGCAACGGAGAAATAGATATCTTAATATCCGATTCGGCGTAAGAAAGAAATTCGTAGATTTTTTCATGTAATTTTGTTTTACTTTTATTTCAGTCACAAAAGTCTGTAACGTCTGAAACGTCAGCCACTGAGCTAAGCGATTTGATACACAAAGTGCGACAATCCACGGAGAGTGCATTGACTCTTTCTTTCAACAGCGACAAGACCGATTGTCCGTTGCACGGAGATCACACGCGTGAATCCGTCGAGGAACAAATCGTGACGATA